ATCCAGGGCTGATTTTTTTTAATATAAACATTATTAGACCAAAAAAAATAAAAGGGATCAAGAGTAAAATTCTACTTCAAATTTAAAAAATGGTCAAAGTAGTAATATAAATAATTATTTAAGTAGTAGTAGTAGTAACTCAATTTGTTACATTAGGAACATAGGGACTTAAATTTAGATTAGCTTTGGATTTCCTTTTTCCAGATAGCTGTGTTTGTTGCTAAACATCATGACAAGGTCAGTTTTCTAGACTTGAACACTATTTTTTAGACATCGTAAAAATTGCTCAACTTGATTCATGGCAAGAAAAAAATTTTAAAGGAGTTGTTCTATCAACAAAGCAACACACAAAAAAGTCCCTGATGACAGTAACATGATTAAATCTATCTTCTCTAGAGAAAAATTAAATGTTCTTCAGCTGAAAATAACTACTGAACATCATTTATTCCAATTGCATCACAGCCCCTGGATGCCCAGGTTCCCAAGGGAGCAAGTATTGATGATCCCTCAGGCTCCAGCTTTAAGCTCCCCAGTTAGAAGGAAGCACACAGAGAGCCTGGTGGCCATCAGCCTGTACCAGTTGCAGAAAGAAAATCTGGATGCAACCCCGATGTAAGTAAAACAAAACACAGCCCATTTATCAAAATCAGCTGTGTGGCCTCCCAGCGTGTGCCAGAAACAGTGGAGCAAAGGGGTCAGAGACAAAGCTCTAGTAAGTTTCAGCCAAGACCAGGGGTAGTCATTTCATCCCTGGTGACACAATGGAAATGGAGTGAGGGACCTGAATTGGGCTGAGTGTTGCCTGAGAAGGATGTGAATGAACAAACGATTGAAAGATTAGACAAATGAATGACTGAATGAATGAATAGTATATGGCTTTAGTGTGTTATTTGCATGTGTTATGGCCAGTTATGAGTCCCATTCAAAGCATGACCCTCAGCTGGGAAATTTACATAAATCACATCAGTGACTTTAGGTCATATCATTAAGAAGCAGACTTTACTTCTTTCCCTTTTTCTTCCTTCTTAAAACAATAAAGCTATTTTAAAATGAAAAGCTGATGAAGTTTACAAGTTTAGAGACCGTCTCTCCACTCCTGTGGCAAAGGATAGCCATTCTAAGTTTGGTGTGAATCCTTCTAGAGACTTTTCATTTATAAATAAAGAAAATGAGAAAAGAAAAGAGAGAATGGAGATTTTTTTTAAAAAGTTTATTTTAAGAGGGCCCACCTTACATATTATTCTGCAACTTGCTCTGTTCATTTAGCAATACGGTATGAGCACCTTTCCCTAAGAGTGTATATTCCTCATGGGTATTGATTGATAATACAAATCTACTTTGATTTATTTAACTATATTTCCAAACATTTGCCATTGTAATCAGTGTTGCAATAAGCATTATTACCTTCCAAGTGATTCTGTGTAGAACTGAGGCTGAGGGGGTGACAACATTTGTCTCTGTGAAGTAGTGGGATCAGAATTCAAACCCAGGTGCTTTCTGCTGCACAATGCTGAATGTAAGTGAAGCTTTGGAGTCTCCAGGATTGAGTACAGATTAAGCTCGTTCAAAATACTTGGGTTCTTGTCTTTGTGTGTGTGTGTGTTGTGTTGTGTCCTTTGTACTGAATTTTGCATAACTCTTGAAAATGTCATGTCATACAGTTTACTCTAATTCCAAAGGATTAAATTAACATGGTAAATGTCATTATCTCATCAAGATTCTAATTTAAGTGGACACACAACCAATGCTAGCCTCTTCTGACAAGTGCTTCCACACACTGCATGGAAGCCTCCTTGAAAGGGTTGCAGTTAATCTGTTTTACACTAAATTTACCTCAAGAGGCAGCTCCCACATACTTACTGGCCTTTAGCTGTCACTAAACGTCAAAAGAGGAGAATTGTTTCTTGTTCCGGCACCACAGAGTTACCCCACTCTGTTTATTTCTCAAGATGTTTGAGAGAACCAGATTGCCCACATCCCCGCAGGTGGGCAGGTGGGTTTGCTGTACTCCCCACCTCTAAAGGCACCTTCTTATCCCAAACTGACCCTCCCATCCATGGAGCTACAGCCTTGCCCAGAGTTACCCACATCAGAGTGAGGAGCCCTCTACTGAGGTGTGGGGGTGGGGCTTGTCTTTGTGACAAAATATTTAAGATGCATAAAAATATATTTAAAATAAGGTTACAACCTGATGTACCATCATGTAAGTTCCCCAACTTCCTTTTCAGTACCCAGCATTCCGTGTGAGAAATGTGACCACATGGATGTTGTGGCACCAGTTCACTGAATTCTCACTGATTTATTAATAGTTCTTATTGTTTTCTATGTTAGAGCATGCTACTAGGAGCATTCTTCTGTGAATATATTTATATGTACCCGTCTTCACAGATACCCTTACACGTGTGTGTCTGTGTAGCCTGTAAATTTATCTAGAATATGTACCTACAGTGGAAATTCTGGATCAAAAGAAGGCATATTTAATTTTATTAATATTTCCAAGTATGTCTCCAACATGACCATTCTAATTTACCTTCTGGCCAGAAATATGTGAGTGTACATTCTAACCTAAACTTTCCATTTGAGACTGAGGACTATAGAATTGTATTTCAATGTGATATTAATATAACTAATAATAATTATCTGATAATTGATGAGTTGTGTGTATATCCATACTTCTATTGGCCATTTAAGTCTCTCCTATAATTATCCTGATTATATTTTTGTGAATTTTTCATGTGGGGCAATTTACAGAAATTACTTAAATGTACTGGATACTAATTCTTTGACCTTTATGTGTGTTTCAAATAAATTTACCTGAGTAAAGTTTTAGTCATTATCAGGTCTTTTCTCTTTCATAATATTGGTGTTTTTAAGTTAGATATCATTGAATTTTCTGCTTTTTATGATTTATGCACTCAGGTCTTATTTAGATTTTTTACTGCATAGCTAGGGGGAAGGTATTCTGCTGTGTTTCACTCTCACAGCTTCACAATTTAAGTCTTTAATCCATTTGGAATTGATACAATGAGAAGTAGAAACACAGTGTAAGTCATTCATTTACATAAACACTTCAGCACCACGTTTATGGGGCCATTTGCATTGTTGCCTGTGCTGCTGTTCTCATGCTTCAAGCTTCAGTGACTTGTGGGCCTGTTTCTGGTCTTTTTCACAGTTCCATTGACCTGCTTGTCTCTCCTTGCACCAGTACCACACTGTCTCTATTACTGTTGCTTTATAATATGTTCTGATTTCTAATAAGACAATTTCTCCCTTTTTAACCATTGAAATTCTCTTAGCTATGTTTAGCTCTTTTCTCTTCTATGTGTTTTATAAGCTTGTGAAGGTGAACATGAAATTCACTCAAGCATTTCACTGAAATTACATTGAACTTGAAAATTAATATGAGGGGAAACATCACGTTGGTACAACTTGGTAATGACTGCTGCTGGAGAGTACTTTGTCCCTGTTCCTGATGTTTCTCTCCTGCAAATGGAGCTCAATCTGTGTAATCATGGCCACCCTGTCCCCATTTTATTCACTTGGTTCCTAGAAAGGTGGAGGGGCTTATCAGGTTCTTAAATCTGAGAACAACCTGGCGTGCCCTGCTCTGCCCTCACCCTCAGGAGCAGCCAGGCTGCTGAAGCCCACAGGCCCCTGCATTTCAGAGGTGCTTCCCCACAATGTGCAAGAGGGCTGCCCCCATCACTGCCACCAAGATTGGGTGGATAAGCCTATCTGCGTATGGTGTTCATTGGAAGCAAGCAACTTGACTAATAACCTTGAAGTCTTCCCCCAGGTGTCTGAAGGTGATATAATGGTCTCCATATCTTTTATTTCTCAACTGTGCAAATCTGGGAAAAAGAAGAAAATAGCTCTTCATTTGGAGCCTCTTTGAGACCCTAGCAATTGTTTGTTTTTGAATGGATGGGTTGATTGTTGAATATGTATTTATTGACCACTGTTTGCATCTATTTTTACAAGTGAAATGGTTCTAATATTCTTTTCTCAAACTTTACTTAATTAGGTATCAAGGTTACATTAGCTTCATGAAATGTGGAATGTTTTCTTTTGTGACTTACAGGAAAAGATTATTTGATATTAGAATTATTTGTTCCAAAAATGTTTGGTAAAGGTTCTTATGTCTAGTGTGTGTGTGTAAACTTTTAAATAAAAAGTCAAGTCAGTTAATGTTTTAAAACAGTTTAAACATTTTGCATATATACTGGCAGAGACACACACAGTGACTACTATCACTCTCCTGTTGCTTGCTTTTTTAAAATAAATATTGAGAAAATGCAACTAAAATTTATCAAATTATACATATGCTATAAATGTCATGATGCCACAAATACCATGTGCCAGTAACCTAAAATGAAAAATATATATATATTATTTCTTTTTACTATCTTGGAGAAATGCACCAAGGAATGAAATTTATTTTTCAAAAAACAAAAGTCAAAGAATGATAGTTATTTTAAATTTAAGGATTACTGTTCTATGAAGGATGTAGGCAAAATTAAAAGGTGATAAAATTGAGGGAAATTCGTTAAGTAAGAAACTGACAAGGAATTCAAATCTTGGATAAACAGAGAATGTCTAAAATCAACTCAATACAAACATCCACAGAAAAATATAAACAGGCAATTTACCAAAAACAAAATTAATACCCCAAAATTCTAAGAACATTAGACAATGATCAAATTTACTTGTCATTAAAGGGAAAGAAAACAAATAAAAAAATATAACAATTTACACCTATTTTTCCTGGCAAAAAATGCTAGGAAAATACCAGTGTTCACTGGAAAGTGACAGCATGGCAACCCCCATGCACACATTATAGAGGTGTAGATGGTGTATTCATCACGAAGAGTGATCTGGAAAAAACGTGGTCAAGTTAAATGTGTGCACACCTCCAGAGTCAAAAATGTTCTCCCTAGGAATATACCCTAGAAAAATTTCACGCTGAGTTCTTTGTAGTGGGAAAATGTTGTTCATAAGATTCAAATTCACATACTTCTTCAGGTGTGTGGGCTAATTCTCCCCGGGCAGTAGGCAAGAGAGGCCAGGACCTCTGAAAGATGGACATAGAGCAGACTTAAGAAAAGCAATACCAGCCATGGGGATTCAGAGACGCAGGTCCAAATCAGGCTTCCACACATCACCACACCACCTGCAACAGAATCATCAGTTATAAGTATATTTTTTAAATTGTATTTCCATTACATAAATACATCATGTCACCTTGTTCCATATTAGTATACACAGAGAATGTCTTTTCAGCCTCTACTAAATATTGCAATGTATGCATGTAATAGTTTCCTTGACCATCACTGACAGACTATTTTTTAGTAAGATTTTAATGTTAAGAATATTTTTAGATTTATAGAACAGTTGCAAAGATAGTATCAAAAGGATATACCATTCACCAAGTTTTAATTTCCTTTAATGTTATTTTCTTGCAGTTTCATGGTTTGTTTGTCAAAACTAAGAACCCAGATTGTACATTCTACTCTCGACCTCCAGTTATTATTCAGATTTCACTTGTTTTTCTATTAATATCCTATTTCTACTCCAGAATCCAATCCATATGCCACACTGCACAATTGTCATGTCTCCTTACTATCCTTTTGATCTTTCCATGTTTTTCATGAACTTCACAGTTTTGAGAAGTACTGGTCAAGGTATTTTGTAACCGTCCTTCAATTTTGAACTTTCTTATATTTTTATAACTGAATTGGGCTTATAAACTTTTGGGAGGAAGAGCACAGTGTTGAAGCACCCTACTCTTCACATCAAGTCAGAGT